GTGGTGTGGACTGACTGCAAAGTACAATAGATACTAGCTACTAAATCTATAAAAACCAACACTTGACAATAAGTAATATCCAGTATTTTCAGAATGATTTAAAATACTGTGGTGTACAGATATATAAAAGGATACCACATTATGTAGTCATTCAAGATAATAAATGCTATTTATCATATACGAATAACTACATTATCCATAGTTATTATTAATGTTCACTGTTACCACAAACATACATTTTTCTACTGATATTCTTTCTAGGATTTCCAGGTTTCACAATTTTCTATTTTTCATTTAAATATAATTATAAAATATATCAAGAAAACATGGTATCTGTAGCTCCTCCCAAAAGAACAGCTGACTCAGAGCTGTATATTTGTAATTTTCCTTAAAATAAAAGGAATGCTACATACCGCAAGATGTTACTTAATGTGTACATGTACCACCTATAATTTACTCAATAATACATTACTATCATTTCTGATAAAGGGAACAGAATTCAAAATGCAGATATAACTTTTAAAAAAAAAAAACATGTGTTTAGCTTAACTAGTAAAATATATCTGTTTTGAGTTTCATGTTCTTAAGATCTATATGGGATTAAAGTGACGAGAGGAATTCAAAAGATGATACAGAAATCTTAGGAGGCAGTGCATTTATGTTAATGAGGGAGGAACACCTCAGAAAAGGAGAATGAGAATAGCTGCATATCTCGACGAATGTAATCAATATCACTAAATTACACATGGAGAAACTGTTGAACTGGTGTATGCTTTGCTGTGTACATCCTCCACAACCTAAGAAGTCCTGATGGCACAGTGAGTTAAGCATTAGACTGCTACCTGCAAGGTCAGTAGTTCAAAACTACCAGCTATTCCACCGGAGAAAGATGAGGTACTCTGCTTCCATGAAGATTTATAGCGTAGGAAACCTATGGAGCAGTTCTACTCTATTCTATACAGGGCAGAGTCAGAATCAACTCAAAGGCAATGGGTTAGCTTTTGCTTTTCTATTCTTAAAAAACAAAACAAAACGAACTAGTGCTTTAAAGAAAAGACATGCAAGTAACAGTAAATAAGTAAATTTTACAAAAGACCTCAATCATAACAAGGCAAAGAAACACAAGGATCCTCAACGAGTAAAATTAAGTCCAACTGAGGGCCACACTGAGTCTAAAACTGTTTCTTCTGTTTCTGAGTTACTTCTTTCATCACACAGAGATTTACTGAGAGTCTGATTTGTGCCACACCAGGCACTATTCCAAGTACTTAGGATATAATGGCAGGCAAGCAGAATCTCTGTCTTCATGGAGCTTACATTTTAATGTGGATGAAAGGAAAACAAACAAGCAAGACATAAAATACCAAGTGCTGATAAATACTATGGAAAATAAGTAAAGCAGGGAAGGGATCAAGAATGGAGTAGGGAATATGGAGAGGGACTTGCAATTTAAAAGAAGGTGGATAAGAAAGACCTCAACGAGAAAGTAGCATTCTTGAGAAAGTAGTCAGGGAAAGAGTTCTACAGATACTTGGGGACAAGCTTTCCAAGGAAGGAAAAGACACTGCAAAGGCCCTGAGGCAGGAGCATACCAGGCATGGCTCAGGTGTACCAAGGAGGCTATGTGGTTAAAGCAGAGGAATTCAGACAGTTGTAAAAGACCAAGTTATGTGAGCTTCACATCCCACGATTCACTATGGAAACAGAGTTTACATTTTGTACTAAGGTAAATGTATAAACCTTTTGTTTAGGGAGTTGGCTGAAATGCTAAACTGCATTGGAGAAGGAAGGTCAGTCAAGAGATACAAATCACTGACTAAAGTCACAAACAGGAAGAAGGTATAAATCTTGCAAGGCCAAGGGAAGTTCAGGAACCAGGGAAGTAGTCCAATACAATGTTCAAACCTACTTTACTTACTCTATAATGCTATTAGATATTTGTGCTTTATTCAGAATCTTTTTGCTTCCTTCCCACCATATAAAATAAAAGGTGAATGATCTAGCTGGGGGTGTCATCTAATGTAGGACTCTAGTGCAGGGTTTTTCAATGGGCCATTTGATGTGAGGACAGTCCTCTGCATTGTAAGATGTTTAGCAGACTCTGTAGCCTCTAAAAGATGCCAGTACCACTTCCTCCATTTATGACCCAAATGTCTCCAAATATTGCAGCAGGAGTGCACAGGGTAAACAAATTGTCCCAAGTTGAGAACCATTATTCTGATGTAAAAAGATAAAAATTCTTTATCTCAGTTTATTAACATATTGGTTTTATGTTTGTTTTTAAACAAATGAATTTATCTTAAAGCATAAATCTCTTCCTATGTGGCACTGTGTGTTAATGTGCTAGACTGCAAAGTCAGGTTGAACCGCAAGGTCAGCGGTTCAAGCTCACCAGCCACTCCTTGGAAACCCTATACAGAGTCACTACGGGTAGAACTGACTTGATGGCACTTAACAACAACAACATCTTCTAAACATACCCAAAGCCAAGTGCCACATATTTATACTTTATAAAGAACTAAATTACAGGAGACCTGGGAAAAAGTGAGCCAGAATAAAGCATGTGCATTAATTTAGTTCAATGTCTTCAAATCATTCAAAAGCATTTACAAATGATCTCCACCTAGGGGCCAAATATTTGCTCATTCATTCTTTCATTAATTCACTCATCCAGATATATACACATCTATCCATGTAAAATAAATTCATGGAACATTGTTCTAGACATTGGTGATACAGAAGTGCGTACGGGAGATATAATTTCCTGCCAACTGCCCTCGTGAAAAACAGTAATGACTTGTATAGTGGTGAAAACCTATGGTCAACTCTCAGGCCTCATCTTACCTGAATCATGTCGGGAGATTTTGACCCCACAATCTCTTAATTTAGCTCTCTTCCCTCATAGTCCAATTGGTACTCAGTGCCTGAGGCTTGCTTCATCAGCTCTTTTAAATATTTCTCAATTGTCTCCTTCTCAGTGGGTTCCCCCCCCACCACCACCACCCAGTGGAATACTCGTCTTATTTACACACCCTCCATTCTCTTCCTAGCTTTGCCTGTCTCCATGACACCTATCACCTCTGGCATGCTATACAATTTACTTATTGAGCTCATTGAAGTCTCCCCCATCAGCACCATCATGACAAGCAACCACAATTAGAAAATAAACTACAGGGGCAGGGATTCATGTCTGTTTTGTTCACTACTATGTCTCTAGTGTCTTACACAAAATATGTACTAAATAAATATGGGCTGAATGAGTGAATATCAGAATGAAGTGACTGGGAGTGACAAAATTATAGGAATAGCCTTAAATCTGGTCATCACTGGCTTTTATGGCTGCCATTTATCTTTTCATCCTTGTTTTTAAACTCTAGTCCCAATGGACTTCTATAAAAATCTCATATGTTCCACACCCTCCTGTCTCAGGGCCTTTGCACTGACTTCTCCCTCTACTGACTGCTTGTCTCAGGCCAAATACTACTCATCCCACCAGTCTCCAATTGTAGCTTCAGTGCAATGTCCCTAGGAAACCTTTTGCTGATCCCTAATATGTCACATAATCCTATTACTTGCAATTAATTCATTATTTTTGGGACCATTGTTACTGTTACCTCCATTTCAATAGGAACCTTATCTATCTTGTTGACTCTTGTATATCGCCAGGGAAATAATTTAAAAAAAAAAAAAGACTGGATTTAAATTTATTTTAAAAGCATATCACTGGCCAGCTTTGGCACTTAATTATTAATAACAAAGTATTATATACCTCACAAACCACCCAAATACAATGGTATAGACCATGACTTAAAGGTAAAGTCCTTATGGCAAAATCTTGACTGTGAATATTTTAAGTATGCCTCTGTCTCTTTTGTTAACAACTAAAATGATGAAAATACTGTAATGGTGGCAAAAGAAATAAGGCAAAAGGTCCTCTTCATTAGACAGCAATGACTGAGCCAAGGAGCAAAACGGATATAACCGAGGCCATTTTCCTGTTTTGTTTTATAAACTCCTTATAAAAAGCACTTATTTTAATACTACTTATTCTACATGTTTGGAGTCCTGGTGTGGCACTGTAGGAAAAGCACTCAACTTGCAAGGTTGGTTTGAACTGCAAGGCTGGTGGTTCAAGCTCAGCAGCCACTCCTTGGAAACGTATACAGGGTCACCATGAATCAGAACCGATTCAACAGCACTTAACAACAACAACAACATTCTGTACATTATACGCTGCTGTTGTTGTCAAGTGCCTTTGAGTCAGTTCCGACTCATAGTGACCCTGTAAGTCTTTGTGGGAGCAGAAAGCCTCATCTTTCTCCTGCAGAGCGGCTGTTGGACTAGAATCGCCAATCTTGCACTCTGCAGTCTAGCGCTTTTCCTACAGAGCCACTGCGCCCCCACATTGTTGGTGTTGTAGAGTGCCATGAAGTCAGTTCTGACTCATAGCAACCCTGTATAGGATTTCTGAGAGCAACTGATGGGTTTGAACTGTTGACCTTGCAGTTATCAGTCCAGTGCTTAGCCTATAGAGCCACACTAGGGCTTGAGCTCCCATATATTATATGTTACTTACTGATTTTAAAATTCTCAAATATATTTAAATTCCTCAAAGGAACAGATATTCTGGGGTCCACAGATGAGTTGCTTGTTACCATTTAGTCTGACTCATGGAGACTACACGAGCATCAAAGTGGAGTTTTCAAGACTGACATTTCTTAAGTAGATCATCAAATCTTTTTTCCTGAATGCCATTGGGTGGATCTGAATAGTTAACCTTTAGGCCAGTAGTCAAGTACCAACTATTTGCGCCAACTGTCTAAGGGACCCTTGAAACCATATGGAAAGATCAAGGAACATTCTACAAACAGGATCCGGAGCTTTTATACAATTGTCAAAGTCATCAGTTTAAAACTCATCAATCTTTAATTTTAAACTTTTTAGGGATAGCCCCATGGTCTTTGGTCAATCTCTTAGGAAAGAAAAATAGTATTTGTTACCGATTTCCTCTCCTGCTTCAATTCTTGGACATAGCGTGCCAATTCCACAGTGATCTGTGAGGTCATGTTCTCAGCTATAACTTCATGCTGCCCAGCATAGTCATTCATTTCATTCAAGGTGGAAAGGAAAGCTTTACACGACGTGTACCTACAAAACAGAACACACATCACCTCCTTTCAAACAAGGCCACATCAATTCTCAGTCTGCTTTACTCTTATGAAATGAAATGAAATATTAATTAAAATCAAGTTAATTTGCCTTAACCTCCCACAGGATCCTGACAATTTATTATACAGATAGTGTTCTCATCAAAATGGCTCAGAATTAATTACAACTGAAACAATTCTCATTTTGTGAAACTGACTTGCTCTACATTATTTAATATTTGGCTTTGTTATGCTTAATTTGCATACTCCAAAATATGTTTATATATATACATACTATTTGTACTAATGTAAGGAGCACTGGTAGTATAGTGGTTACAAATCGGGCTGCTAACCTCAAGGTCAGCAGTTAGAAACTACCAGATGTTCCATGGGAGAAAGATGAGGCTTTCTGCTCCTGTAAAGATTTACAGCCTCGAAAACCCTGTACAGGGTCACTATGACTCTACTATGGTACTTAACAACAACAAATTTGTACTAATGTAGTTGATATTTACATTTACATTGTTATTGTTATTGTTCTTTCGAGTTAGTTCTAACTTATAGCAACCATAAATAACATAGGGTTTCTGAGGAGCGGCTAGTGAATTTGAACCAACAACCTTGCAGTTCAAACCAACCTTGCGGTCCAGTGCATTATCCCACAATGACTCCTTAAATGTACATTGTTGTTGTTGTTGTTAAGTGCTGTTGAGTCGGTTCCAACCTATAGCGACCCTGTACAGGGTTTCCGAGGGTGGTTGTGCATGTTAAGATGTTTAAATTGCATACTGAAGTTGACATGTTTCCTTCCTATGTTTTGACATAATAGAAGCAAATCAAGTAACTAGAATACATAGTCCACACTTCTGTATCTGTTCAGATTGTATTTTAAACTTTACCTACTTATTCTAATTGAAACCATCTGAAGTAGGTTTAGTGGCTCCATATAAGAAAAGTTAATTGCTTATGTTTTTATAGTTCACTCCCTCAATTCAAAAGGTGACAAACTATAAATAGTGAGTATAACTTAATTTAATAGATAGCTCTCCTTCCCCTTCATAATCATTGCCAGGGGCATACAGATACTACCCAATAATTATCAATGATAAACATACTTATACTCTTCCTCCTCCTTCGAGTTCTTTTTAGGTTGGTATTTCTTAGAGAGATTCCTAAAAACAAAACAAATGCAAACATGTTACTTTATATAGGAAGATAATAAGTGAAGCAGCTTCTGTTAAGGACTCACATATCTTTTCATCTTTTTCCACAAAGGTAGAGCAAATTAGAAGAGACTGTTAGCTCATCACAACACTGAATGTGAAAAAATAACTTTATTTGACTGGAAAGTACAGACCATGTATAAATAAAGGTTTTATTTGTAGTACTGGACTTAGGGCAGTATTTCCTTAGGCTACCATACCCTCATTGTCATCCTAGTTTGGCATTACTGTCCCAAGTCCAAGGAAAACATGGACCGTTGCCCAAATTTTAAAATTAAAAATCATAGTGCTTAGGCATGTTTTCAAGGCTGTGTGTCTTGAAATGGCTAATGAAAACTACCTGTGAATATATCTTTTCAAGGGAACTTGAGGCCATATTGTGTGTTAACACTTTAGGAAAACGTGTGTAGGTTTGCTCAGAATACATTCAGATTAACTAAAGTCAGCCTAAATTATTTCTCCCATCTCTAGGAGAACAATACAAATACTACATTTAGCACACTTAAATTTAAACAAAAACTAAGAGGATGTATAATAATAACATTGTTTCCACTAGCTCCTGATTTTAAGCCACTGTAGATGGCTTAGTGAGATGGTCATAGGGTGGTGTTATGGACTGAATTGTGTCCCCCAATAGTGTGTGTTTCAAATCCTAACTGCTGTGCCTGTTGTCTTTGTTATGTTAATGCAACAGAATTAATATAGGGTGGATCTTGAGTCAATGTCTTTTAAGATACTCAGGTAAATAAAAAAAGTACCGCTACTAGGGTTCTAGTTCATACATGCATGAATGTATTCCAAACAAAACATGTTGCTTTAGCCCACAGCGCCACACCAGGTAGGACCATGTAAATAAGGTATATAGGATTTTAATGAGAAGATTGGTCAATTTTGCCATTCTACTGAGTTTAAAACTAGTCATCTCAGAAGCAGGAATGGGGGGAATCTCACGAACAGCAAGAAAGAAGAACCAAGAATGGAGTGCACCCGTTAGACCCCAAGATCCCTGGCTGAACCTTTTTGAACCAGGAGATAGAGAGCTGTGATATCAGAGAAGCAGTGAAGTGGAGGAGAAATAGCAGCAGCAGGTGCAGAAGAATGAAGAGCCAGAGCACCAAGACAGAATGGCAGGCTTCCGGGCCCACAACAAATAAAGCTGAGTGCCTTCAGGTGGGAGGCTCGCTTGATGAGTTGTTAGGTGACATCCAATTGGTTCTAACTCACAGTGACCCTATGCACAATGCACAACAGAACAAATTGCCCCATTCTGCATCATCCTCATAGCCTCCATCATCCTCTTAGTCTCATTCAAGTAACTTCAAAAAAAAAGACCAATCAAAACACTGGCTTCCAAGGGGATTTGCTGGGCCAGTTAAATTCAAGGCAGAAAGGTCAGCTCAAGGTTATGGGCAACTGTTTTTTATTTTTTCTTTTTCTTTTCCATAGGGTTAATCTTGATAGATTTTCTCAAAGGACACAAGATGATCATAGGTGTTTGTTATGAAGAAGTTTTAGGAAAATGGAAAACTGCATGGATGAGAAAAAGGCCAGGAAAGTTGCACCAAGGAATTTGTTTCTATCACAACACTGCGCCTGTTCACTCTTCAAGGGTAACAATGGCTGTCCTATGAGAAGTTTGTTGAGAAACCTTATCCCGTCCATCTTACAGCCCTGATCTTGCCCCTTTACACACTTCTTTTTGTTCCCAAACTTAACATTGAGGAGTGGCTGGTGAGTTTGAACTGCTGACCTTGTGGTTACAGTCTGGTGTTAGATCAGCGCCACACCAGGAGTCCAAACACTGCCTTCAGAACTGTATAGACCTAAACAGAGGGTATATTGAGAAATAATAGCTTCACATTTTAATGTTTTCATTTAATATTTGAATCATGGTGTTGCTGAAGAAAATTGAATATGCTATGGACTGCCGGAAGCATGAACAATTCTGTCTGGGGAGCCAGAATGCTACTTTAGTAATGAGGATGGTGAGATCTTGTGTCTCATGTTTTGGACATGTCATCAAGAGGGGCCACCCCCTGGAGAATGTCATCATACTTGGTAGAGTGTAAATGAAACAGAGGGAGTCCCCCAACAAGATGAAATGACACAGTGGCTGCAACCAAGAGTATAAACACAGGTATGATTATGAAGATGGTGGTGCAGACTGGTCGATGTTTCATTCTGTTCTACAAAGGGAGTCAGACTGACCCAATGAGACCTAACAACAACATGATTTTGTAGCAATACTTTTCAATTTATCCTCATATAAAAGAGATTAAACAAGGGAAAAAGTAGATATGGGAGAAAGAGAGATGCATGCCAAGCCACATGAAGATCACTCAGGAGCTGCTTAAAGTGACAAGGACCTGCCTCCAAAGACAACACAGAGAGAGAAAGCCTCTCCTCGAGCTGGTGCCCTGAATTCAGAACTCAAACCTTCTAAACTGTGAGAAAATCCAGTTATGCTTATTAAGGCCATCCACTTGTGGTATTTCTGTTAGCAGCACTAGAGAACTCAGACAGATTGGTGACTAATGTTCCACAACAAGCTTCTCATCTGTCAGCATCTTAGTATTCACTTCCTTATTTTTTCCAAGTTGTTATTTCCTCTTTTATAATAGCTATCCTTATTATTTCATATTTTATTTCTTCCATTATCCCAAAACCTAAGATTTACCTACAAAATATGTAAAAATAAATCTACAATTCTGACCATAGTGCATTTTACAAAAAGGTGAAATATATCTCTAACAATCTATACTAAATGACACAAGAAAAGTAGCATTTGGCAAAAAGGATGTTGTTGTTGTGATGTGCCGTGGAGTCAGTTCTAACTCAGAGCGACCCTATACAGGGTTTCCGAGGCTGTAAATCTTTACGGAAGCAGAAAGCCTCATCTTTCTCCCGCAGAACAGCTGGTAGTTTTGAACTGCTGACCCTGAGGTTCACAGGCCAATTTGTAACCACTACGCTACCAGAGCTCCTTGGCAAAAACAATACTGCTCTGGCAATCAAAGGAACTTGTGTCTGAATGCTGTAACCTCAGACAAATCATTGAACATGTATGTTTGCTTTCATGTCTTCATCTGTAAGTTGGAGGGGCTTTGGCAAAATGACATGTGTGATCCTTTCTAATTTTAAAATTCTGAAGGAAAATATGACATCTTGTAGACTAAGAGTTGCTTCAGTTAGTCATATGATAAAGGCATGACAAATGAATATATAACAATTTAAATATAATTAGTTTTAATGATGAAAGAATGGACTTACATTTCAATAAATAAATATAAACTACAGCGTATTTTCTCCACTGATACTAGGGACACACATAGCTAAGCGTATCTAATAAGTCTAGACCCAAAAGAATGAGAAAGAAGAATAATTCCTTAAAGGATGTGCCTTAAAACAATGAGGCAATATGATATGACAGTGCCATAGTCTAAGCTGAAAGCACAGTGTTTGGAGTTGGTTTGCCACAACCACTCTTTTCAAGGAAGATCCAGAATAACGGGGGCAGATGACTATATAATTGTATTATTTTCCAAATATGTTGAGAGTCGTATATACAGGGGGGACTGGAGTATTGGGAAAGACTAGTAGTGGCTGCATATTTTTAGTGCACGGCTTTAAATATCAACCACTTTTTCTATTAACCACACCTTACAAATTGAAAATACTACTTCTAAATTCATACTTTCAAAGCTAATAGTTCAAAAATTCATTTAAATCGATTCGTTTAAAAGTAATTTAAATGTTACACCTAGTTGAAGGAAACAGTTGGAATTAATCCAGGTAAAACTAAAACTCTTGATGTTGTTGTTAAATGCTGTCAAGTCAGTTCTGACTCATAGGGATCCTGGATAGGGTTTCAGAGGAGTGGCTGGTGGATTTGAACTGCCGACCTTGTGGTTATCAGTCCAGGGCTTATCCTACAGCACCACACCTACGCCTAAACAGAAGTAGACACTGCTATGGATGACAGTCTGTTAAGAAGTTTAAGTTCTGATGAATGAGCATCACTTTGGCAATTGTTATTTGACACTTTGGCAATCAACATGCTCCTTAAAAGCACTGATGAATAATTCACTGTAAAAATACCAGCAGAAAACTAAACGCTTAAGAGGCCTAGAAATGAATTTCAGGTCTAAGGATATTTCTTTTAGGAACCATTACCAAAAAAAAAAAAAAAAAATCAACTTTCCATTTCCATTCTCTGGAGACAAGCTTTACTGCCTTTGTTTGTGTTGTTGTTGTAGTTGTTAGGTGCCGTAGAACTGGGTCAGACTCACAGTGACACTATGCACAGCAGAACGAAACACCGCTCAGTCCAGTACCAACATCACAATTATTGTTATGTTTAAGCCCACTGCTACTGTCACTGTGCCAATGTATCTTGTTAGGGGTCTTCCTCTGTTTCACTGACCTTCCACTTTACCAAGCATGACATCCTTCTCTTAGGACCAGTCCCTTCTGATAATTTGTCCCAAAGCATGAGAGGCAAAGCCTTCACCATCCTGGCTTCTAAGGAGCATTCTCATATTAAGTTATTTATTTAAAAACCAATAAGCTAAATAAGCCATATGGGGGAAAAAAACAACAAAAACCTTAAATGTATGTGGTCTTTGAGAAATTGAAAGTGTTTTACATGTGTAATTTGTACTGCAGATAGACTAAAAAGGTAAGAGAAAGAGATAACATCCTTGCATAGTGATTCCTGCTTAAAATCTGGTTGAAGCCAATGTTTTGCCATGTAAACTATCACTCAATTCACAATAAAAGCTTTAAAAAAATAATAATAATAAAAAAAAAAGAAGACAACAATAACAAAAAGCACCATAGAAATGCTTTTAAAACTGAGATACTTGGGCCTCATTCCAGACCCTCTGGAAATAGAAGGCTCAGGGTTGGGCCCATGAGTCTTCTATTTTATCTTTCTTTTGTTTTTGAAA